GGCAGCTGGCGGCAACCAGGTACCAGAGCCAGTCCTCGGCCAGAAAGTGATGGTGAAGCCACTCGCGTGGATGAGGCCACCATCCACAGGACCAGACCTTGAGAGGCACGCAGATGGGGAAGGCAGAGATGAAGGCCACAGGAAGGAAGGGCTTTCAAAAGGATGTGGGCAAGATTGTCCAATCCTGGGAGAGGTGAAGATAAGAGCTTGAAGCTGCACAGAAGGAAGGTGGCCTTTGTCAGACAGTCTGGAGAGGTGGTGCGGCCCGATGTGTGACTAAGAAGTGGAGAACGGAGCCAGTGAGCAGATACTTCCTCTAAAAAGCTCCACTGTGATGGAGAGAGAGCAGAGACAACCTACAGTGGGGTACAGAATCCACGACTCTGTGTCCCCCCATTTTTCTAAAGATGTGAAAACTCAAGCACGTTTCCAGACTGGAGAAAAGAGAACGAGGTGAAAACACAGAGAAAAGGGAGTAACTGGTAGGAGAAGAGGCCTAGAAGCAAGGGGACTGGCGCAGGAGGTCATGACATGAATGAGACATTGGGAAAATAATTAGGAAATGTTTTGTTTTTTTTTAAGCTTCTGGAACATCCCATCAGCATAAAAACATCTCCTTTGACAGCCACTGGCCTTGGCTCTCACATGATGGCTTAGACCTCCACGGTGCACGGCCCCATCACCAGTGCCATCAGCAATGATCCAGCCACAAGATCACCATGACTGCGAGCGTGAATGAGCACCTGCAAAGGTGCTGACGAGGCTGCAGTAAAGACTCAGCCCCTGGGGAGGCCACGGCACTCACCTTGCATCATACTCCTGTAGGCGGTGTCTGTGATGGCGTAGATGTGGGGGGGCATCTCATGTCTCTTCTTGCCCTTGTACATTTCCACAATCTCTTCCGAGTAGATGGGCAGGTTCTTATAGGGATTGATGACCACACAGAACAGGCCTGAATAAGTCTAAAGAAAAGAGAGGTAATCAGGAACGGGTTAGGAAGTCTGATTCTTAACGGCATGCAAGCCTTGTAGCAAAACGTATGCTGCCTCCAAGGAGCCTGAGTCAGCCTGGCGTGAAAGCACTCGTGGAGCCGCTCATTCTCCAGCCCTGCTCCGACAGACCTGCCGAGGCGTGGGAATGCCGGCACCGTCTCTGCTCTCTCAGTGAGGGGCCTCCCTTGACTGCGTGACTGCTGCCAGCTGTGTGTGTCGACCAGCATGTGCATGGGGTGAGATTCGTAGCGGGCTTCGTGGACAGTAGGAGTCCAGTTACAAAACTCGGATCCAAGGACAATAAGAGATGTGTTTGTCATCATGAGAGATGCAAAAGGAGAAAAGGATTTGGCTGCGGCAAGCGACTGTCTGTAAACACAAACTATTCTACCCTGAAGGGCTCCGAGATGTTTAAGCCTCAACTCTTCCAGCACTGGGAAAGACTCAATGCACTCCTCAACCACCTAGATCCAGTATGGGACAGCAGATCACTGACAGATACCTCTCTCCCTAGAATCTTCCAGAGACGCTCATGTAAAATCTCTAAAAACCTTAAAGATCCCTTTCATGTCCTCTGTGAGCCTCCTTCAAGACTCCGGTCTTCTCTGAACGGGAACCCAGTTACTCAACACTCTTAATGTGAGGCTCCTGAGAATACCCCGATACCCCAAGCCTGAGCTGACCAAGTTAAAATCAGATCCCAGAGTCAAGCTTCAGCAAGAGCAAGTTTCTTAGCCTCCCTCTCTCTCCATTTCTCGGCCTGAAATATGGGCACAGGCAGACATCTACTCCTCACTGAGTGGTTCTGGGGATCGGCACGGCGCCCGGCACGGCGCCCGGCTCGGTGCCCGGCTCAGGCATGGAGAGGGGCTCGGGGTAGGTCAGGAGGGCGGTTTCCAGGGGCAACAGTCTGCTTCCTTGGCATCTTCTTTTTCTAATAATTTTCCTGCTACTTTTTTCTTCCAAGATCCCCCTCCCTCACCGAAAGGGGAAAAAAATAAAAGACTCCTTAAAGCTGGGTGAGACCCTGGAGACCACCCAGGTGACAGGTGCTCACTGGGGTGGGGGTGGGAGGGCCACAGCTCACTTTAGGCAGCTGAAGCAACTCAGTACCTTCTCCCTAGGAAAACAGGCTCAGAGGAGCCAGGCAAAGAGATGCCCACCAGCCATGACTCACACACACCTGCAGCCCCGACTGCTGAGTGATGGCTGGAGGCTATGAAGGCAGGTCCTGGCAGAGCTGGGAAAAGACCCAGGTCTTACACCCCCACTGCAGACCTCCTTGGTCATGGAAGCTGGTTCTCCGAGCTCCCCGCATCTTTTTGGTTCCCTCACTACAAGCACCCTTCACCCTCACCGTCCACAGTTTGGCCGCTCAACCCAATAGCAGCCAACATCTGAGAGGCTGAGAATGTGTCAATCCAGTCCCGTCCACCCCACCCTCTCCCATCTCGCCAAAACTGAGGGTGGATCTTGTGGCTGAATCCAAACACAGGGTCCACACAGGAAACAGCTGTGAGGACAAAGGTTCTTCCCAGCACTGGCCGAGGGCTACAGGTCTTGGACTTGCCAAGTAGAAGTCAGGCTGAGAGCAGAACTCTGGAGGGACCCACCAACCACGCACAGGACGGCATGCAAAGGAGCAGCTGAGCTTGGAAGTGAACAAGTGCTTTTGGCTGTCTCTTTTGCTTGGAGGAGGGGACATAGGGCCCTTAATTAATTGCCTTTCTTCTTGGGATAATCAGTCATTTGTTTTCCCTCCAACTATTCTTTTCACAAGGGACCAGGAAAGCGCCGAAACAAGGAAGTCTGCACGTGGTGCTGGCAACCTGCGGCTGAGGTATTACAGGAAGCCAAGAGTGCCACGGGGAGCCTCTGGCTTTCCCTCCGTGACTGTCGGGTGGGGAATGAGACAGGAGCCCAGGGAACGGCGAGGTCATCCCAGGAGCTCAGAAACAAGGGAGCTCTGTTCCTGAGGTTTGAGAGAACCCACACTCTAGGAAATCCAGCCCGTTGAAAGCAAAGGACACGTGGCCACACTTTTAAAGCAGGCCATGGGGCCAGATGTTTGGAAACAGCTGGCAGTGACAGCAGAAGGGGTCTGGGGGTTACAAGGACAAGTTTTTCTGACAGGCCCCCCCTTCTGCACACAATGTTCCAACGTTCCAACTGGTGGGCATATGGTCCTGTGAAGGGTTCGAGAGGGCCTCAAAGTTCTCCGGGCTAATTCCATTGAATCAGTGGGCAATCAAACTAAGCCCCATGGAATGAGCGCTACAGCTCAGGTGGGAGGAAGGGGACTCATCGCAAGCCCCTCTCACGGAGGCCCGTGGAGGCGCAGACGCTGAGCAAGTGGCTTCACTCCCACATGGCCACGCTGGGTAGCTGCTCCATTCACGGGCCACAGAGGCCCTTTGTGCCCGACCATCCCCTGTGCCCAGGCCTCCCCCCAACCGAAGAAACAGACAGAGCAGCTGTGGCGCACAATTAGCCACACCGCCCACAACGCCGGGCAAACACGCCGCACAAAGGCTCCCGGGGTCGCAATTTGGAACGTTGTGTGCAGAAGGGGGGCCTGTGAATGAGGCAGCACCCCCGGCCCGGGCAGCCCCACTGAGTGGCTTTGATCTCCCCGCAGCTCTGCACCTGCTGGGGTCTCCATCAGGGCAACTGTACAGACAATCGACTTCCTTCTGGTGAGGATGCGGAGGAGGAGGCTGGTCTGAGGCGGGAAGATCTGAGGTGCCAGCAAAGAAGCAAAGATGGGAGTTAATGCCTCCAGCTGAAGAGTTCCAGAGAAAAAGCTCAGGTCCTACAAATGAAATTGTAGGCTCACACTCATCTAGAAAGTAAAACCCACACTTTAAGAGTGAAGAGGAGGGGCGTGAGTATAGCTCAGTGGTAGAGTGCAGTGTGCTTGGCATGCACAAGGTCCTGGGTTCAATTGCCAATATCTCCATTTAAAAAGAGTAAAGATGAAGCAACTAATATTGAACTAATATTGAATGCACTTTCATAACTAGTATTTCGATTTGCAGCCAACTGGTAGGTTAAGTGCAAGACGCCGACTTGTTCCATGCTCAGCAAATCTCCAACAGGACCCAAGCTGAACAATGACATCTGTAATAGACCAGGTAGAGGGTCTGAGTTATCTTCTCCTACGACAGATGGCAGCAGCTACAGAGCTCAGGTGCTGTGTGAGCCCAGGGCTGGCTGGCACTTTACAACGTTCTCAGGACTCCTTGCAGACAAGGAAGTGAGGCCCCATGTAGCCATGTCACATGGTTAGGAAGGGGCAGAGGTGGGATTGGAACCAGGTCCTGGAGGCGCCAACTCTAATGCTCTGAATCACTCTGCTTTACTGACAGCAGGGTGGTTCTAACATAAGCTATCAAAGATGCCAAGGGGAGAGTCCTCTTCCCAGACAACAGGAGTTAGCTCCTATCTCCCCTCCACAGACAAGCAATGCTTCCTTTAAGACCATTTGTTTTTCTGAAGGTCACTAATTCTGAATTTCAGTGGTTAATACCTGGAGAGACAGGGACTTTTAATTTGGTCCATGCAATACTCTCATTGAGAAACAGGTAACTGGGCTGATAGCCAGGAAACCCGAGTTCCAGTCTCAGCCCTGCCAAACACCTAGCTGTGGGACCCTGCCTAAGTCCCTTGCCCTCTTTGGGCCTCAATTCTCCCCACCTGCCAGATTAGAAAGTTGGGCTAAGGTGTTCTATAAAAGAGCACTTCCACTTCGACTGTTCCGTATATCTCCTTGGTAGGTCTGCCCTCCAGAGCACAGAGCCCCGCCCACTTACGTAGATTAGCCCTGGAGCCCCACCCACCTGCAGAATCCCGCCCACTTATGTAAATAAGCCCTGGAGGCACCCCCTCCCCACCCCCGCCGCCCACTTACGTAGATGAGCCCTGAGTAGTAGCGCTCCTTGAGGTTGTGCAGCACCGAGGCTTCGTTGAGGCACGTGAGCTCTGCCATGTCCTCCACCTTGGAGAACTTGGGCGGGTTCATCTTCTGGATGTCATCCTTGTTCACCTTCACCTTCTTCCCGTTCTCCACCAGCTCCACAATGGCCTCCTCGCCCACTTCTTCCTTGAGGCTGGCAGGCTCAAAGCCACTCTTGTCGGAAGGCACCCATACCAGCTTCTTGGCAGCCCAGTCCGCCTGGGCCAGCGGGTTATTGATGAAGTTTTTATCCACATAGAGATACTTATCGGCTGCTTGTTGCGCCATGGTGACTTACAGCCAGGATCTGAGGGAGGAAAAGGACAAAACATTAGCTGCAACTACACCAGCCAAACGAGCATCACTCATCTCATATCTCTACAAGTTTTACAGCAGCATAAGTAAAACTCTAAATAACCAGGCTGTACAACTTGCCAGAATTTTCTCACTCTCTACTTTTGGGAGAAAGATGTTCATCGCTGAAAAAACAACTGATATCAGGGATTCTGTAAGAAAATAATGGTAAGATGTATCCCAGGATCAATGCACAATCAAACAAATCTATAAACAACAATTGTGCCAAATGATGAGCACAATCAGAATCTCAAAGACAGATGTAATTATAGTCACTAAGCTACACCTGCTGAGGCCAGAAAGTGACCACATAATTTAGTAAGAGGACGTCCAACAAGAACAGGTTTCTATTTGGTGTAAAAAAGATAACTGACTACAATTGCACAGAGTGGAAGTCTCCAGTCTAAAAAACTTTTTCTTATCTCACAGAGTCAACCAAGAGAGGAAAACACAACAGATTTTAATTCCACCTTGGTAATAGAGGCCAAAGAAAGAAACTGAGAAGAAAAGAAGTCAGGCTCCAGGAAACACCATGGAGAGTAGTGAACGTTTCCCTCCTGGGGCACCCATGTGAAAAGACAACCCTCACAATTTATGGGCCAGGAGAACTTAAGCTCATGTGCGTTGGCTTTTTTTTTTTTTTTGAAGTTCATTTGCAAAACAAAAATGATGAAATAATAATCCCTTATATCTCTGTAGTTTTATAGTTTATGAAAAACTATCACACACACTTCACTATCTCAGAAGATCCCCATCCTAACCACTCTATAAGGTAGGTTAGGTACGTATTAATATCTCATCGTACAGATGAGGGAACAGAAGCTCCTTGGAGGTAAGGGGCTTTGTCCAGGGTCACCCAGGAAGGACTCTGGTCTCTTGGTCCCATGGTCTTTCCACAGTCTAACCACAGTATTTACTCCTGCTCAAAGGCTCAGGCTAAGATCAGCTGAGAGGACAGCTGCTCTGACAACAGCTGGACTTAGAAACCCTGGTCTAAGACCGAGCCAGCCCACGGCCAGCAGAGGAACAACCCAGAAGCTCACTGCCTAGTACAGGACACAGGGGGGCTTTTCCCTTGTGAGATCAAGGCCCCCTCCCCAGGCCCCAGATCCAAATCCAGGGTCACACAGGCTTTCGTGCTTCCAGATCCCAACAGGAACTTAGATGCCAAGGAGGCTGGAGGCTTGAGAGGGAGAGAACAAAAGAGAAAGTCTGGGCCGCCCAGGCCTTCTTATCTGGGCTCATTAAATGGTTTCCAGATCAAGGCTGAGGGGCTCTCTGGACTCACTCCAGGAGAGGCTGTTTTCCAGGAAATCTGCTAGTTATGCCCCTTCCCCACCCCCACCCCGCCCCCAAAGAGGAAAGGCAAGTCCAAGGAGCAGAGCCTGGCAGCCTCCCCAGCAAGCTGAACCAGTGGCTTTGTTTACATTCCCAGCACAAGCAATCCCTGGCAGCCTCTGTCGGGGACCAAGGGGCACAATCCACCTGCAAGGACCACCCCCAGGAGAAGCAGACATGGCCCAGAGTTAGGCAGCAGTGAACAAGGCAGGAATGGGATGGCTGAAAACCACCTGGCCAGCCTCATCATCTGTCTGGGGCTGGGGGCTGGGGGCTAAACAGGCCCACTTTGGGCTGTCCTTGCTTGCACACTGGCCAGTCCATTCAAGCAAATCAAAGGCTTCTCTCTGCCAGAGTAAATACCAGTTTTCCTCTGCCGCTCTGCCGTCCATCTGACCACAGGACAGTCGTTCTCTGCAAAGTCCTAGCATCCAGGCTCCCAAAACCACTCTCCCTAATCATGTCACCACCATGCTCGAGACCTTGCAGCAGTCACTGAGCACAGGACCTCACCGGCTGCTGGTTCTCGGCCTTTCTGTAGACCTCAAAACCAGAAAGGATAAAACAGTCTCCCATCAAAATGCAAAAACGGATCCACGTCCACCTTATCCCCCAAAATCCTAAGTCTGCTATTCATTAAGAGTTCCACTGACCCAGCCCAGTGAGGGGAAAGGGCCAGTCATTAAGTACCTACCTACCAACATCAATCCCCAGTACCCATTTATTCACAACCTCACTTAACCGTCCAGCATCCTGGAAAAAAGCTTTTATTATCCTCAGTTTACTAATGAGGAAACCAGCTCAGAGAGGGCAAGTCACTTGCCCAGAGTCGTCCAGCCTAGTCCTGGGCTAACCCAGATCTCCCTGGCTCCCAAGCCTGGACTCTTCCTAGCACACTTGTTCCTGGGGTCTTGCAAGAGAAGTCAGGCCGGCACTGGAGCTGGGCTGAAACTGTCAATAAGCTGAGTGAAAAACAGAATACAGGGGAAGGCATCCCACAACATTTGACAAATATTTACAAAGAGTTATCAGGCAGGCAGGCAGGGAGGCTGAGAATGAGCCTTCCCGGTGTGGACCCTGTGGCCTGTCAGTGGTAAAATTCAGCATTCTCGCTCCCTCAGCTGGTTACAGTCCACAGTGAGCAGCCTGTCAGTGACAGCAGAGTGACTTCTGGCCCTCATCAGACTCCAGGTCACCCCGGCGATTCCAACCCTGGGGGAACCAAGAGCAAAGAGCATGCAGGCTGCCAGCAGGCTGCAGGCCCCGGCACTCAGCTGGAAATCTGGGTAAACTGCCCAGCCCTTTCATCAGTGAGCCTGTGCTGGAGGCCAGGAATACTGCAGCAGGTAAGCAGGACAAAAGTTCCACCCAAACCACCACCCTCGGCTCCCGAGTCTGCCCTACATTGTGGCCTCAGCGGGAGGGCAGGGGGGCAGGTACCGGCCAGCACTGTCTACCTCTGATAACCATCAGAGACCAGCAGGGCAAGCCACACTTCTTGTTAAGAGAGAGGGGTACACCACGTCTCCTCAGAGCTGGATGCCAAGCCCCCTGTGGATAGTGGGGCTGCAGGAGTCCCCATGGCCTGAGTGCCTCTCTCTCTGGGCAGAACTTTTCATTAAACACGGCTGGGCCTTGTGTGGCCAGATCAAGGACAGAGCTATTTGGTTTCAGCAACTCTTCTGGAATGACGTGGGTTAGCAGCAATGCCAAGATCAATACACGGGCTGGACCTGGGGGAGGCCTGCAGAGACCATGACAAACAACGGGGTTTCTATTCGAGCCCTGCCACCCGACCTGGACAGGAACATCCGCATACAAGGATTCAGGGGCCACAGGGCTGCAGCTGAGCTCCCATCTCCACCTGTTTCAGGGAGAGGCTTCTGGGCCCCAGCAGCTGCTGACTCACGTGTGCCCGGTGGGGAGGCCAGTGATGCAGACACTTTAACCCTCACCTCTGAGGATGCAGGTGAAGCAAGATGCCACTGTTAAGCGCCGTTAGCAATGAAGC